AGAAAAACATGTAGGTTCAAGAAGTCTTGATAGAAATGAATAAAAACCATACAACAAAAGTGCTTTCAAAAGGCTCACACACACACTGGTGTTTTGCAGAGGTGTAGTGCTAAATAAAGAAGTGAAGGAATGTGTTTTGAAAGTGTTACTATTATTAGTATTTATTACATTGCCTATGCATAAAAATACATTTCAAAAACAGTAGCTGTAAATTGTAATTGTAGTTGAAATCTACATTTGAAAAAGTTACAATAAAAACAATTAATTTTGTTTCACCTTGAACTTTTGAATTCCTGGATAACTTATTAACAGAACTTCCAAACTTGGTCCATAGTGAGTTCCTTGGACTTGACTAGTTTTGTTTGTGTATCAGTTGCTGAATGATGACACCTAAGCCATTTGTATATATAGTCTGGTTTCCAGTTTTGAATCGGAGAGCCGTGAAATTTAATAAACATGAGATTTGTCTCATGGTTCGATTAAAAGCCTAGACCTTGTTTCCATAATGTTAAGGCTCATGCTGCTAAAGCCTCATTCGCATTCAGAAGAACTGCATGGGATGACTTTTGAACACCCAATTACATGATTCAGATCTGACGCAATATGGTGCCCACAGTTATCTAGAAAGTCTCTGTACTCTGTGATTGATTTTGAAAATGACATTCTGAAACTTTTGCACAGGGACTCCATTTCCTTTTCTTCAAAGCCAGAATTTATCTCTGCTGGTCAACCATTGACTTCTAAGGTATGGAGCTAAGAAATTGTTTGGAATGGAATTGTAAGTGCCTGGCCATGACCCAGTTGGTTCACGAGAAGAAGTTGGTGTGAATAACCATTGTTTCATATTGTTTATGATACTGGTTAAAAATTGACCATAATTGATCAAAATAATCTTGTTGTTATCTGTCTGTTATTGATGCAAACTTCATTTCCTTAATGGCATTCTCTGCTTCTAAGACCTTTTTACCCTTGCATTCCTTCATTGCTTCTGTGTGATGAATTAATTTGTCTGCACAAACTCTAGTAATATCTCTTTTCTGTTAGGTTTCAGAAAGAAAAGATAGTTTGAATAATACATTGTGCATAAATGCCAGATCAAGAAGAAATTGTTTTGATGAAATGCATTTATAATTAAAGGGCATTGGTCAACTTTTGATCGATTTTTATCAGTGCCACCACTAACAGATTTGAAATGATAATACAGACATGTATAGCCTTTCCAAATGGCTGAAACAGTTCTGAATGAACTTGCAACCCACCTATTTCCCAACTCACATTAACTTTTTTCATCTCTTCATCAAGCTTCGCTGCACACTGTTGAATTTCTCTTTGGTTCGTAGGAGGTTGATTGTATACAAAGTACAGTTTGTCCATAAATGAACGAAAATTATTAACACTATGTCCTTTGGAAATTGCATCTCCAACTAACAATTCCAAGCAATGATTTAAGCAATGCCATACCATATTATTAGGGTACTTCTGCAACATCCATTGAGCCACACTAGATTTTTTCCCTAGCATTATGCTGGTACCATCACTGGTAAGAGCAACAAAATTGTTCTGAAGATAATTATGATCAAACCCATGCACACCAAGACAGGTAAGTGTTCGCTTATTGCTTTTACTAGTTGATCAGGCAATTCTACCAAATCCAAAAAAATAAAACATGGATCATTTGTCTTGTCTGCTTCACATTTTAAATAGACTATCAAAGTAGTTTTGCTACAAAGAGTGGTGGACTCATCTATCATAATAGCTATTTTTCCTTTTATTTCCAGGATGCATTTGCAGACTCTTGTTCTCATTTCTTGTGCAACATTGTCAATTATATTAGTATCACTAAATCACAAATGCAAACCTTGTGGAATTTCTGTGCAACAACTCAAAATGGTCAGAACATGGTTTATCATTTTTGGCTATATAATATGCAGTTCCAGAAATTTTGCAGGTAGCCTCTACTTCAGATTTATTTAAACAATCCAAAATAGTCTCAAGTTGTTCCTTTGTACTCTGCATAATCTTTACAGCATTGATGTGTGAATAAACCTTCGAATGAAGTAGAATTTTTTTCTCAAGGATATTAGTTGTGCTGATCGTGTGCTGCAGTAGAAAGAAACTGAAACTGAACTCCATTCTTTGGAAAAACTAACACTTTGTGAAAGTTGTGATTTAAATGAGCTTAGATTTGTTACACTAGAGCATGCTATTCATCCAGTTTTTCGGGAATAACTCACAAGCCACGGGTAAGCCTTTTTCTAATCTTCCCACATCTTAGCAGTCCAAACTTCAGGCCATGCAGACTTGGGTTCATCATTTTTGCATCCATTTGTATGTTGTCCTGTCAGTGTCACTTCACTGAAACTTGAGGAATTACTAGAAGTAACTTGTGGAATTACTTTTGCACATTTAATGCACTCACTTGCACAAGTTGCACTTTCTTTTGTTTTGTTTTTTTTAGTGAAAAGTGATTACAATGATGTTTGTTTACATTTCTCACAAATTTTTAAGGCCACAATGTATTTCTTTTTTTTAGATAAAAGAAAGTTTAATCTAATAAACAAATTATTGGGCAACCATAGCCTATAACACCTGCATTGAGCCTCAGTTCTCAGAATGCTACTATATAATTTTACCAATTACTTCAGCCAGTTAAAATGGATAAAATAATAGTCTTCCACCAGTCAAGAGGCAAGACACAAGTAAGCAGTATTACCAGATTTTTCTGAATGCCTAAATTTTTTTAGCGTTTAAAAAATATTTCAACTGCTTATTAAGGGAAGTATATACATATCAACAAATTAAAATATAAATGAAAATAAACTTGTTTTATACATTTTCATTTCAAGGCATTGTGCAGTGGCAAAATGTTCCAATGTATCATGTATAAAAGCTAGTGATTACAGATTCTGTATACATTATAAATAATGATTACTTACTTGCAGGTAATTCTTTGTAAACACCAATTGAACTTACAGTTCCCTGATGAATAATCTGCTTCTAAAGTGATAGCAAGAAGGCTAATTTAGAAATACTAGCTAAACCAAAATGGGCCATATTTATGTTACTAGAAACTAAGCATTTACTGGTTACTGTGTAGTATGGTAAAATAGGAAACAGGATGTTCATAACACATGCTTTTACACCTATACAGCTAAATCCCAACCACCCTGGGAGGATAACTAACATTCATATACCTAAAACATTTATTGGATTGGATCAGACTTTGTACATAGCCTTATAATAAAAATTTTCTCTCATTTTTATACAGTATTTTAGACAATGCTCATTGCAATCACTGTACTACAAACAAGCCCACTGTGTTTTTGAAGCTTGGAAAATTCTGGGAATTGCACTGCATGAACTTATTTGCTATCAATAGTGTAAAATAAAAGTGTCACATAAACAATCTAATGCCAAGAGTGGTGGTTTGTTGCTTTATTTTCAAAAGATTTTTACTTCAGCTGCTAACAGTAAAATAAGCATAGGAAATAAGTGTGTAAAGATTAGAAGTAGAAATTTTTTTTATTATGGCCAGAGACTATATGACAAACAAGTCCTGAGTGTGCCTCAATTTAATCTTCTGTTTATGCTGTGTGGTTGCTTGACCCACTCTGGGATTAAGAAGACTAGCTCGCTGGTTCACCAGTTCTTTTGAATAATAAGCAAGATAATTCAAAAACTGATAATCAATAATATATATAGTTAAAATCAATAAATAATTTATTGTTAAAATTCCTTACCCCTATTTCTGATGTGTTGTGACATACATAAAATTAATGTAAAATTACAATTTAACAACTTAATCTAATTCATACCATAACAGTTGTTGTTAAAAAATTTGTTAATATAAATAGTGTCTCAACTACTACTGTGCCTGATAATAAATGAAATTGCACTGTTTTGCCCATTCAATCCTGGTTTCAGGCTATTGATCAACAGATTCTCCCCTATATGCAGTTTTTTTCCTGTTTGCTAATTTAATTAGGAAATATTTATGCAAGTTATGTCATCATGCATACCCTCCAGTGTGGTCTATAAATATGTCCCAGATGTTCTTTAAGCTAGCATATAAGAATATGTGAACTTAAGATCCCTGTCATTTTAAGGTATCAAGAAACATGCACTGAATTAATGTAATGACCTTACAAGTTGAAGACAATTTAAAATCATTGCAAAGGCAAACAAGAAACTGGAACCACATATGAAAGAAAGTATTCATCAACAGACTTAAACCAGGATTAAATGAGTAAAACAGTGCAGTTCATTTCTTATAACTGTTAGTGATGTAGTAACACTGTTATCTCCCAGTGGTCTTAAGAGCCCTGGTATTGGGCAAAAGGCCTTGCTGTTACTGGATATAGCAAATATAGTGTGGTTGACATATTATTATACACCCTTAGAAATTCTTATTAATAATTATTAACAACATCAGTTATGTTGTGTCAGGTCACTATACTTTCATAGTTGAGCAAAGAAAAACACCTTAAAATATCAAATGGAGATTCATAGTGTGAACTCTTCCTCAAGTCTTTTTAATACTGTTATTTTGAAGAAGTGCACAGAAGTCTTGCATAAAGTAGCATGAGTGTGTATAGGAGAAAATACTGATTTTTTTGCTTAATTTCTACATTGCTATTCTCCTGTAGGTGTAGGTATTTAAAAAATTCAAATGGACAAGAAAAAAAATTCATGGATCATTTTATTTTTGAATAAAAACAATTCTCCAGTCAAAAAATTGTCATTCATGTACTATAGTACTAGTAGTATCTGAACAATTTTTGTATATATGAATAATGAATATTGTTGTTTTATCCTTACTTCAGGTTTATGTTTCGATAGTTTTTTTTGTCAATCATTTTTGTTATAAATTCTTTGACATTGCTCTACAGTAATGGTAAAAAATGCACAAGGCTGCCAGATTCAGAATTTTCACTAACTTTTTTTTTCACTGGCTGATCTGTTAATGTTTTATCTATCACAATACGATCAGTAATGTATTAATGGCCAATACTTTATTTCAATTTGCTGATGATTTTAAGGTCTTGGGTGTTACTGGCTGTGAGGAGGATGCTACTGTTTTACGGAAGGATGTGGATTATTTGGTGAGTTTGAATAAATGGCAGATGGATTTTAATGATAATAAATGTAAGTTAATGTATGTGGGTTATCACAATTTAAATTGAGTATAATTTTTAGGGGAATAACCTTAAAAGTGTTATGAAAGGAAAGGACCTCAGTGTTTTGTTTTATCAGTGCCTTAACTCTTTCAATACGGGGTCAGTCAATGTGACTACCTTGTAACCATTTTGTGCTTGTTATAGTTTTCATGGTATAACTTTTAAATTAGCAAGCGACCATTACCACAATTTGGCAGATTATCAGTAAACATTACAATGCTTTCATACGCAAAATATCTAATTTTTTTATTAAGTCGTAAGGTTTGTAAAGCAATGTTTC